GGCACAGCAGGACAGACAGTATCATCAAGTATCAAGATTTTACAACAGCTTTTTCCCTGCCACAGTAAGACTGATGGCAAATACGAAAATGTGAGAAAATATGTGCAATAACCGCTTAATAGACATGTGCAATAACCGCTCACTACCTCACCAAACGTAATGACACATCCAACTCCACCATGTGAATTACTAAGTGTGATGTTCACTGTGGGAAATACTATTACTCTATTTTTGTGTATTGCGGTTTTAATGCTTTGTTGCCTTTATGTAACTAAGTGTTCTTTCTGACTTGTGACTCCTTACCTGACTCCAAAGGAGAGCTGCACAAGAATTCCTAGACTGTCTGTTTATGCGTAAATGGTAAATAAAAATCTTGAATCTATGGGGAATACTGTTAAAAAAAAACTCATAAAACTAATTTAATTCATCCACAGCGTTTAGATTTTTTTTGTTTGCTTGCTTTTAGTGTTTTTTTTTGTTTTTTTTTTACTTCTGAGCTTCACTAGCTACTTAGCTTGCTAAATTGCTAAACTCTGACAAGTCCTGACTGCAGCTAAACATTGATTGGCATCACAGTGGAATACAAATCATAGTCTATCAGTCTGACTGCATTGCATATTTATGCTTAAATTAATATATTCATATTTGCATGTAAACTATTGTTATTTTGTCTGTTTGTGTGCAGATTAAATAAACAAGACCCCCATGAGTTTTACTGTAGGTGTTGGTATGTGTGTTTTTGAACAGTGAAGAGAATCAAGCTACCTGTCCTCCGCTCTTCACAGTCTTTATGCTAGGCTACACTAAACACACCCAGGCATTCTTGTCCATTTTTTATTTTTTTCAAATGTGTAAAACTATGCCTTCAAAGGTCAGTGATAAACTACAACTTATTTTTGTTTGTCTAATCTGAGCAAATATTTTTTTTGTTGAGATTATCGCTCAAATAATATTGAATTTTAAAGGACATACAAGACAATAATATCTAATTAGCACTATTAAAAGCTAGTTATCCCCATCTGCCACAAAAATCAGAGGGTTTAATGGACAGGGCAGTTAGCAATGAAATCTGTCCATCTCGACTGGAGTCAGGTCTTGTTGTCTGCCTAACCAAAGAGGCTGAAGGGAAAGGTTGGTGAGTTCCAGTCAGAGGTTCAGTATATCTCTGTGTCATCAGTGTCTTGCTGTGTGCTCCATCCCAAGGTTTCTGCTTGTAGCCGTTGCCAGGCTGGCTGTGAGCTGTGTGCAGCGAGTGAAGGATAAAGCCTTTTTATGCTCAGCTCCAGGGCATGTGGAGGGAGGAGGCTTACGGACAAAGTCAAGGTTAGCCCACAGTAGACAAGGGTGGAGCTGTGGGGATGTCCAAGAAAATGTAGCAGGGCTAAAAGTCTGAAAGTCAGACCCATGACAGAAGAGGGAGGCATGATCTGTCTAGCTCTGATATCACAGCAATGATGCAGAAATTTCTTTTGGCAGAGCTTTCTGTCACTTTGTTATTAGATGCAGATTGATGGATTCTAAAAGTCAACTCCTGCTATTTCTGCATTACAATCAGCTCATATCATTTTTGTTTGTATTTCACTTCTTAATTTGTTTCCCTGTCTGACATCCTGCAGAGCTGAAAGTTTAAATCTGACGTGGAAGCTGTCAGAGAACACTGACCCACTCGGGCAGCTTGCTAGCATGAGTGAAAGGCTTTGTGTGTTTGTGCTCCCTCATGCACCATTTTTTGTGAAAAACCTTTTGTGGACAACCTTCAGATGTTCCAGAAAGAATGAGAGAAGTGGTTTGTTTAATTTGGGAGGCTGCTCAGTCCAAGCAGGGATAAAGGCTTTATTGTTTTGTGCTACTGTATATCAGTATACTCAGGTCGGTTAAAGTTCAGCATAGTTAAATGTTGCACTGTAATTGTAGTCATAGTGAAACTGAAAACATCCTTCAAAGATTTTTATTTTCTTTTTTGCAGTTTGAGATGTAATGTGAAGATACAAGTTTGCTTTTCATTACTCTCTACTCCTACTCAGC